AAATTAATCAACTACCATTTTCTTTTTAAAAGAAATGGGGGGGGGGGTCCTGAATGTTTGATGTTCCACAGGCCAGAGATTCCCAACTATTGTTCTGAATTCTTACACAAAAATCTAATTCCTGCATGTATGGATCCCATTTTGAATCCAGGTTAAAAAAATGAAAGGAAGAAGCGGAGACCTGCAAGTAATGTTATACCATCAGCATTCTTGATGTAAGTCTACTTCAATCCTATATGATAGACTGACAGGATCTGATCTTGTGGTAACAGTAGAAATTGTGGTGTTATGTGAAACATCAACTGAGTGTGCAACAGCACAGAAGAAGACAAAAGTCATGTTGTGCATTTTTAGGAAAGGGAAGGAAAATAAACTATTCTCATAATGTCTTTCAATAAATCTATAATGTATTGGCATTTGAGATGCTGTGTATAGTTCTGGTCACCCAAACTCTAAAAGATATCACAGATAAGAAAAATTGCAATAAAGGGCAACCAAAATGATCATGGGGTTGGTACACCTTCTAGCTAAGGAACACCCAATGGTTTGGGCCTTTTTGGTTAAGAGGAAGTCTAAAAGAAAGCAGGATGAAGGAAATGATGCACAGACATTATATATTTCCCCTCTCATAATATTAGCATCTGTAGTTATTCAAAATTACAGTAAATCCAGAACAGCTAAATTATTTACATAACACACTGCTCACATATAGAATTTGCATCCATGGGGTATTATAGAGGACCCCATCAGGGCCAGGCACACAAAAGCTGACCAATTGGAGGCAGGCTCGCCAGCCAGGTCCGGTGGCATCTGCCTCCACACAGAAATCCTGTTGGAGTGAACTGCAAGTTCTATATGAAGAACCAACTAGGACCCAAAACTGGAGTGGCCCAGATAGTACAGTGGCCTCCACAGCCAGAGTAGAAACCAGAGTGGGTCTTGAGAGGCTTGCACAAAGGCAAGCCAGAACAAAAGCCAGGTCTGGGCCAGAGAAGCCTGCATGAGGGTAAGTAAGCTCCAAGTCCTGAACCTGAGAGGTCCAGGGAAAAGCAAGGGGTGGGGACTGAGGGCTGGCAGCCTACCCCAGCCAACCCTCTGGCATAGACAATAGGGCAAAATGGGTGAAGAATCATCCAGCAGCCCAAGAGGAGGGATAGGGGAGGAGTGAATCATCACCCTTTCTCAAAGAGAGGCCAGGTATGCTCAGGGAAGTAGTGAGGGTGAGGTTGCCAGCCACCCAGTGAGTGACAGCAGGATAATTTATTAAAAATGGCTGTCAAGCAATGGCCAGTCTTCCATATCCCCATCCATCTGGTCTCCTGCCAGAGTCCAAAGCAGTAATTTTCCGCTAGGAAAGTGATCCCTATAGTCTAGTAATTTGTAATTCTGGGAGATCTCCAGTCCTCACCTGGAGGTTGACAATCCTAAGCAAGGCTATTTGGAGCTTTAAATGCAGGTTTCTGGGAAAGGCCAAGGAGGAGAGGAGGATGAATGGGCAAGAGCCATGGTCCTGGGGAAAGGACAAGAAATAAAGTTGTGCAACCCCCTCTCCTTTCCCATTCCGAGGCCTGGGGAGACCTGCAGGAGACACCCAGCAAGAGAGCTGAAAGCAAGCCAGTAGGGCTGGCGTGGGAGGAGCCTCCCATCTGCAGAGCCACCATTTTGTTGCTTTTGGTTTAGAGGTGCTAGCTGCATGTCTTCTTCAGACAAATTCCATGGAAGCACCACCATTTCCTGCTGGTGCACAACTGAGTAGTGGGAGAAAATGCGGGGGGGGGGGGAGGAGCCTCCCATCTGCAGAGCCACCATTTTGTTGCTTTTGGTTTAGAGGTGCTAGCTGCATGTCTTCTTCAGACAAATTCCATGGAAGCACCACCATTTCCTGCTGGTGCACAACTGAGTAGTGGGAGAAAATGTGTGGGTGGGGATGTCAATGTGTCAGTGTCACTTCTGGCTAAAACCTAGAAGTGATGTTGCCAACTGTGTAGAATGTCAGTAATATTACTTTCGAGTTTTATGTGGATGAAATGTTGACACATCAGCTGTGTCCTTTCTCCTATGCTCCACTGTCAAAGTCTGCTGGGGTTTATAGAATTAATTTATGTTTTTTTGGTGTTTTCTCTGAAGTGACAAAGTGGCACAGAAAACACTAGCACTTAAAAAAAAAGTTCTCCCATCACTGCTTGGACTGCCAGTAATAGGGATAGGCATGAACCAGGAAAAATGCAGTTTGTTTCAATTTGTGTTTTATGGAGTACTCAGTTCATGAGCCAATGACCTTCACAAACCTTTAGACATCAAATGAACCAATTCAATTTGTGAAGTTCATGATAGAGGAGAATGCTAGAGACACCAAATTTGCACAGCATCTCTGGATGACTCTCCTCTACCTGGCCTCCAAGTTTGGTGAGGATTGGATTTATGGGGTCTGATTTACACCTCCCCCCAAGGAAGGTGCCCCCAGGAAAGTGCTTTCTAGGAAAATGACTGGACAAGGTTCATGAGGTTCCAGAGCATGTAAAACAGACCCTGTGGAAGCTAGAGTTATCAATCTCACAGAGGACCTCCCTCTTATCCTCCTCTACATGCCCTCCAACTTTGGATTTAGGGGGTCCAAGTTATGGTCCCATAAAGAAGATGCACCCAGGAAATTCCTCTTGTAGAAAATGTCAGGTGCAGGTTCAAAAGTGTATAGAATGGACCCCCTGTAAGCTACACACATCAAACATGCAGAGAACCTCACCCTGCCTTTGCAATTTGGTAAACACTTTGACTGAGCAGAGACAGTCCATCTGGACATGCATTCATTCACAAACTGCTACAACCCTCTTGAAAGTTCATGAAAAGTTCTGGTTGACCTGCCGTGAACTTCAGTTCACAAACCATGATTTGGCCAAAATTCATCACAGACTCTAGCTCTTGATCCAATGCATGCTCTTCCCTATCCAGTAACAAACCAATGAGCCACTGCAGATTTTGAGATTAGATTAAAACAAAATAAGGCTCTATCACACACAAGTTGCAAATCTTATCAAATCGAGTTTAGGCCCCCTTTGAGCTTGAGACCCGGGCCAAATGCCCCTCCCTCCACAGTTGACCCAGCTCAGGAACATCTTTTTTTCCTCCAAATATCTTGAATATCTAGACAATGGAGACTCCTGTGTGATATGAAAGCATGCCACTACATATTGTTTGGTATTTATTCAATTTTATTTATATTATTTATAGTATGCCTTTTTCATTAAGAATCAATGTGGATTGCATAATATAAACCAATGCAATCAATAGAATAAGACATCTGCTACGGGAAGTAGTAACTAGGATTACAGAAATCTGAAAACAAAGCATAAGTATTATCCCTATGGATTCAGTAATGGGATATACAATACAGCTTCCCCGAAGAATTGAATTACATCAAACACCAGCAAATACAAATGGAGATTCTCTTGCTTCCTGTGCTCTCATGCCTTGCTGTGGACCCAGAAGTATTTTGTTGTTTCAGTGAAGGGAGAACTTGTGTAAGATGGTATGTTGGTTGCCATTAAACCAAATGGCAACCGTCTGATATTTTGGTATCTCCGTCTGATATTTTGGTATCAGAAGGTCTAAATAATTTTACATTAGAATGAAATGAATAGATTTCGTTGTTCCAAGAGTCAGTTTTTGCATGCTTATCTGGTGAGCTAGATTCTGCCAAGACAGGAGAATCCACAATTTTGACTATTATGGTAGTGCCATGTCTAATGATATGTGGATCTTTATATAGAAAAGGGCATTGTCCAGATAGTAAATTACAGTGGCACAAGATATGTCAGTGTTTAAAGCATCTCTGTATTAGGAGCAAATGTCATTTGGGGCTGTATTGATGACAGCTAGTGTGGTGGTAGTTGTTGAGTGTCATACTAAGCTCTGGGAGACGGAGGTTTGAATCCCACTCTGCCATAAATGCTCACTGGGTCACCAGTCTAAGCTTCCTCCTATAATGTTATGAGAATAAACATGGAGGAGAGGTCGATGACGTAAACTGTTTTGGGTCCCCATTGGAGCAAAAGGATGGGCATAGATGAAATTTTTTTAAAAAACATTTTCCTTAAAAAAACCCCACCTCTCTTACCATTTATTTTAGGTGTTCTCCAAATAGTAGTGGTGATTTAAAATGTGTCACTTATCCTGTTTTCCTTTCCTCTTTCCTACATAAATATTTAGTATTAAAGCTCAGTAAGCCATCAGACGCTGTAGGCTAACTTAGGTCATGGAACAATATGTTGTATCTTATCACTCCACTCAGCTAAAACCACATTCCTCCAATACAAGGAGTTGTCAGCTAGTAATTATAAACCATATATGGATTTAGTAGGCAGTAGTTAGAAAAGCTAACTAGATTACAACAGTAGGAGAGAGTAACTGGCACTTTGTGGAACCACAATCATGAAACAGTAGAAATTTTGAACAGGAAAACAAGGGTTAAAAAAAACCAACCATGTGTGAACTTGATCCAAAGGCCAATCTCCTGTACACTTTCAGGTTTCTATGCAATGGCATGGCTTAATTGGTACTATGGATGGATTTTTGAACAAGCCGGTCTCTAAAATGGCCTGTCAACTTGGACCTGTGAATGAACCAATTTGGTGGCATGCAGATCAGGTGAGTCTACATTCAAACACACTGAGGGTTTTTTTTTAATTGTCCCCAAACGTTCCATGGATTGATGGTGGACTGCCAGAAAACAACAACAACAGTATGAAGCAAGGGATGAATAATGGCAGGAACCTGAGCTTTACATCACATTTCATGGACATCTGCAATTCCCTAATGTTGCCTATAGGATCACACAATAAGGTCTGTGTGATGCACACTGCATATTGAATCACAAAGGTATGAGAATGTTTTCAGAACAAAAATATACAGGATGAGGATGTAAATTCATGAATCTTAGTTGTATGAACCTGGATGGACCTTACTCTCAAATATAGAGGTCACATACAACTATATATCTATCCTTTGCTGCCTTTCTGTTAAGGAACAATAGGTTGCATAATCAATAGACTAGTGGAATAACATTATTTATATTTGTGTTTACCTCTCTCTCTCTCTCTCTGTATGTGTGTGTGGTCGAATTCCACTAGCTTTTCCGCTGATTCAAAAGGAAAGCTGAGCCCCTTTTGAGCCCTGAAAAGATTGTGTCAGAAATCATGGGGCAGAGGATGAAACAGTAGCAAGGAAGGTAATGTCATGAGATATCCTTCCTCTCTCTTGTGCCAGTTTCAGGGGGGAAACAACAACAACCAAACACTGAGATTATATAAACTATAATGTTCTGAGTATTGATGGCATTTCACGGACATTGTCAAAAATCCTTTCAACAAACCTGGAAGGTGGATCAGTATTCCTTTGAAGATGGGAAAACCCAGATAGCTGCTGGCTACTTAAGGCTTTATGGAGGAGACACAACTTGAACTTCCAGGCTCACCTCTTCACCATCAGGGTCCTCTTAGGGTTGTAAAACCACAGACCTTCAGAAACATAATACTTAAAATGGGGAAGAGAGGAAATGTTTTAAGTTTATTCAAAAATGGAGAGAATCAGAAAAAGCCAAAAATATACAGGATGAGGATGTAAATTCGTGAATCTTAGTTGTGTGAACCTGGATGGACCTTACTCTTGTAGAGGTCACATACAACTATATATCTATCCTTTGCTGCCTTTCTGTCAAGGAACAATAGGTTGTATAATCAATAGACTAGTGGAATAACATTATCTGTATTTGTGTTTACCTCTCTCACAGTCGGACTCGACTGTGCGACTGAACAACAACTCTCTCTCTCTCTGCATGTGTGTGGTTGAATTCCACTAGCTTTTCCGCTTATTCAAAAGGAAAGCTGAGCCCCTTTTGAGCCCTGAAAAGATTGTGTCAGAAATCATGGGGCAGAGGATGAAACAGTAGCAAGGAAGGTAATGTCATGAGATATCCTTCCTCTCTCTTGTGCCAGTTTCAGGGGGGAAACAACAACAACCAAACACTGAGATTATATAAACTATAATGTTCTGAGTATTGATGGCATTTCACGGACATTGTCAAAAATCCTTTCAACAAACCTGGAAGGTAGATCAGTATTCCTTTGAAGATGGGAAAACCCAGATAGCTGCTGGCTACTTAAGGCCACCTATCAACTTTATGGATGAGGCAAAACTTGAACCATGGACTTCCAGGCTCACCTCTTCACCATCAGGGTCCTCTTAGGGTTGTAAAACCACAGACCTTCAGAAACATAATACTTAAAATGGGGAAGAGAGGAAATGTTTTAAGTTTATTCAAAAATGGAGAGAATCAGAAAAAGCCACTCTCTGAGTACTAAAAAGTTTTGGAGGGAACATTTGAAAATATTTTTTTTCTTTGCTGAGACAAATATGTGTGAGCCGGAGGCTAAAAAACTGTGAGCTAGCTCACACTAGCTCAGCTTAGAGGGAACACTGATTGCCATTTGTCTGTTTGTTAATGTTTTAAAACAAATTTCTTTTCATATGTAGAATGCAAACTGATTGCTTTACATTTTAAAATCTGTTAATGACAGAATTCTACCTATGTTTTGATTATGGATTAAAGAACTGATGTTCAAGTATGATGGTATTGAGTGGAGACGGAAACAACAACAACCAAACACTGAGATTATATAAACTATAATGTTCTGAGTATTGATGGCATTTCACGGACATTGTCAAAAATCCTTTCAACAAACCTGGAAGGTGGATCAGTATTCCTTTGAAGATGGGAAAACCCAGATAGCTGCTGGCTACTTAAGGCTTTATGGAGGAGACACAACTTGAACTTCCAGGCTCACCTCTTCACCATCAGGGTCCTCTTAAAATGGGGAAGAGAGGAAATGCTTTAAGTTTATTCAAAATCCAGCTATTTTTGTATGTTTCATGAAAAAATATTTGAAAAGATGGCTGGTTCAAAACAAAGGTGTGTGAGAGGGAGAAGGAGAGAGAAATTTTCCAAAACCACCATGGCATGTTCCCCTAATGCCACCACATGTAACAGTTTCCTGCTGCAATAAATAATGGTTGACATACAAACATATACCAAGAATTGCTATTGAAGGGGTGAGTGTGATGAAGCTCATACTATTTTATGTATAAATGTGATATTCTAAAATTTGCAACAGCACCTATGCCATTTACTTATGGGTTTGTTTGTTTGTTTGTTTTGTATTTATAAGATTTAGATTAGAAATCATGAACCTGTCCTACTCTGGGAATCAAACATCCATCAAGGAATTCATACTATTGGGATTTATCAATATCAAGCAAGGAAAGACTTTCCTTTTTGTCCTCTTTCTTACCATGTATACTATCTGCTTATTAGGAAATTCACTCATAATTGCTGTGATTCTCTTAAATCAGACACTCCACACCCCTATGTATTTCTTTCTTGGCAACCTCTCTTTCCTAGATGTCTGTTACATCTCTGTGACTGTACCAAAAATGTTAGCAGATATTTGGGCTGATTATCCAAGCATTTCTTTCATGGGATGTGTAGCACAGATGCAATTTCTTGTAACTTTAGCGGGTGCAGAGGGATTCCTGCTGGCCTCTATGGCTTTGGACCGTTACTTTGCTATATGTCGCCCATTGAGCTACGCCAGACTCATGAGTAAATGGACTTGTCTCCAGATTGCTGCCACCTCATGGATTTGTGGCTTCCTCAATGCTTCTCTTCACACAACACTCACATTCCGTCTGTCATACTGCCAATCTAATGGAATCAGCCATTTTTTCTGTGATATCCCTCCACTGCTGAGTATCTCATGTTCAGACACATCAGTCAATGAAGCAGCTCTTTTCACAGTGGGTGTCTTTGTAGGACTTAGCCCTTTTTTCTTCACTCTAGTCTCCTATGCTTTCATCCTTCATGCCATTTTGAGCAACCGACAGAAACGGAAGAGTCACAAAGCTATTTCTACTTGCATATCCCACCTGACAGTTGTGATTTTGTTCTATGGCTCTGGCATCTTCACTTATTTCCGCCCTACCTCCAGCTACTCACTTGAAAGAGATCAACTTTTTGGGGTTCTATACAATATCTTAACACCAACACTCAACCCTCTTATCTACAGCCTGCGGAATAAGGAAGTGAAATTGGCAATGAGGAGGTTGGTGGTCAGAGAACATTCTGTTTTGGAAACGAGGCTCTTCCACAACAACTGAGTTTAATTGACACCCTAAATTTGTGGCTGAAGAGCTCAAAACCATAAGAAACATTCAAGGGACATTTCAAGGAATTTAGCCATCACATTATCTGTGGGAAGTGAGAAAATAGGGATTCTTAATAAATTTTATTAAATATTTTATAAGAATAAATACAAGGAGTGGTTTCAGGGGTGCCAGTTTTGTTGGTATCATTGATTTGTCCAGCTAGCTTTTCTACTGATGAAAAAAGAACAAAGGGTTCCTTTCAACCACTCAGATAGGCTATGCTGGGGGTCATCAGGCCCTTGTGAATGAAGGCCAAGGAAGGCAGAGGCTGTAGTAAGAGAGAGAATTGAATGAGTCGGGCAAGAAAGGGTTGAATCTTGGCACTGTTCTGAAAGGGTGAATTAGAGATCCTAGATGTTAAGGACAAGAATCACATCTGGGGACCTAGCCTCTGTTGAGAAAACTATAGGAAGGACACTGTTTTTTTTTCTGCTTGCCCCAAAGAGGGCATGGTTTATTTAAAGGTTTCCCCCCCCTAAACACAAACATACAATTTACAAACATTAACACACACACAAACACATATGGGGGGGGTAATAATGCATAGTACATGGTTTCACTTTAAACCTTATATACAAACAGTTTTCTCAATGCAAGTAACTAAAAAAAGAAATCCATTTTCTTTGTTGGCTTCTATATTTTTTATAATTTTCTTGTTAATCCCGTCTTTATTAATCAGGGTATATTATTATAACTATTGTACCAAATATAGAATCTTGACCATGTATTTTGAAATGAATTGTTAAAGGGAAGGACACTGGTTTTGAAAGGAAAGTGGATTGCCCACTGAAAACCCCTTCCTAGGTGCTTTTCTCCAACAGATGTCTGCAGACTCTGGTACTTCCATATGCACTCTCATCTGTTTTATGTGTAACACATACACTTTCTTCTGATTTTGTATTTAATTCATAGTCTTCCTCCATATGAACTTTTGTGACAGCTCCATTTTTTTCACCAATTCCTACTACTAGTCCCCACCAACCAGATTGTAAGATCTGTGGTAACATTATGCTGTCGAAGGCTTTCACGGCTGGAGTTCATTAGTTGCTGTAGATTTTCTGGGATGTGTGGCCATGGTCTTGGCATTGTAGAACCTAACGTTTTGCCAGTAACTGTGACTGGCATCCTCAGAGGTATAAACACAGAAACATGGAATACTCTCTGTGTCAAGGTGAGAAGAAAAAGGTAGGCTGTAAATTTATATCTACTCCAGAAGGTGGGTAGGGCTGAGTCATTGTCTTGTAGGAGTTCCCTAGGCTATGGACATGCTAATGGAGGAGCTTTTCTGAGGAGGTTCTTTTGTTTCCTGAGGTGGTTTCCTGCTTCCTGAGGAGGTTGTTGAAATTCTAATCTTATCTGTAGTGCTATTGTCTGATGTAAAGCCTTTTGTGTTTTTCAGGACAGGAAGCCATGTCCTATTTATTTTTAAACTATCTTCTTTCCTGTTGAAATTATGTTTATGTTTGTGAATTTCAATTGCTTCCCTGTGTAATCTGACATGATAATTGAAAGTGTTGCCAAACCTTTCAGTGTCTTGGAACAAAATACTGTGTCCTGTTTTAGTTAGGCTATGTTCAGCCACTGCTGAGTTTTCAGGTTGGCCAAGTCTGCAGTGTCTTTCAATGTTTAAAATAAAGAAGCAAAAAACAAATAAAGATTTGCACATCTTGTCTCAGCCCACATTTGAGTTACCAAATATCATAGAATGTCTTCATTTTCACTGTGTTCAGAATGATCCCCCACTCCAACCGCTCACGGAGTGTGAATAACATATTTGATTTTTGGGCTGCTGGGTAATTCTGCTCCCCTTAAATTATTTGGGTTTTGGGAGTCAAACTGACCTTTTTTTTACAATACTTTTCTACTTTTTCAACACCAGGAACATACGCATCAGACTTCAAGGTGGAGTCTTCAGAGGTGAGAGCATTCCACAGGCAGGGTGCCCAGGGCCTTAGCTAAAGCCTTCCCAATGGGGAAGGCCCTGGGGAAAGTGGGGTGGCCGGAGTGTGTGCGTGCGCATGCTTTGCGCGCACGCACGCCGCACACGCATCAACCCGGAAGTGACGTAATGCCCTCCCCCTTCTCTCTCTCTCCAAGCTCCCCCCCCAATGAATTCTATGCCACAGCCTCAGCAGCCCTTCGTTTAAGTCTGGATGAGCTACACACAAGAGGAAAGCAGGATCACTAAACTGAAACAACCCCTGAATGAAAGGAAAAGGTGGGAATTATTGTCTTGCAGTGGTTCATAAATCAGAAACAAAACCCCAGCACTGACTTCCTTGTGTGACCTTGTTTGAGGTGGTTTAGCTTTTCCTGATCATTTTTATTTCCTTGAGAAAAGGAGGGAAACACCTTTGTGTGAGGGCACAAGAGAGAAACGCTCAGGGATCACCCCCACTCCGTCAAGGACAGAAGCCCAAACAGAAAGCAGAAGTTGGCCCTGTTTGCATCAGCCTAGCTACCAGCTTCCTGTCTGCTTACTTTTGCTGGGGTGTCCGGCTGCTCCGGCAGCTCGCGGAAGGGAAGGGAAGGGGAGGAGCCCGTCAGGCTCCGGCCAGTCAGAGCTGCATCTGCCGCTCTTGCTCGCTCACCTGCCTCCCCCCCCCATCTCGCTTTATTTTGTTTTGACCACAGGGCGCCTTCCTTGGAAGCCCGGCAGTCAAAACAAAATAAACCAATATGGAGGGGAGCGGAGCCTGATGGGCTCCTCCCCTTCCCTTCCGCGAGGCTTTGCTTTTTTCCATCACGGAAGGTGAGCCCCCCCGATGCAGCATGCCACCACCGACGCTTGAGTCCCAACGAGAAGCCGCCGCCACCGCCAAGCCACTCCCGGAGCAGCCGGATTCCACCCAGTGTAGTGGTTAAGTGTGCGGACTCTTATCTGGGAGAACCGGGTCTGATTCCCCACTCCTCCACTTGCACCTGGCTGGATGACCTTGGGCAAGCCATAATTCTGGCACAGCTGTTCTTGAAAAAGAGCAGTTTTCTGTCAAGAGCTCTCTCAGCCCCACCTACCTCACAGGGTATCTGTTGTGGGGAGGGGAAGGGAAAGGAGTTTGTAAGCTGCTCTGAGACTCCTTTGGGTAGTGAAGGGTGGGGTATAAATCCAATCTCTTCTTCTTCTTTTACCTCACAGGGTGTCTGTTGTGGGGAGGGGAAGGGGAAGGAGTTTGTAAGCTGCTCTGAGACTCCTTCGGGTAGTGAAGGGCGGGGTATAAATCCAATCTCTTCTTCTTCTTCTTCTTTTACCTCACAGGGTGTCTGTTGTGGGGAGGGGAAGGGAAAGGAGTTTGTAAGCCGCTCTGAGACACCTTTGAGTAGTGAAGGGTGGGGTATAAATCCAATAAATCCAATCTCTTCTTCTTGTGATTCCTGAAGTCAAATTTAATTTAAGGTTTGACCTGTTTGCCCTATGCAGAGATCTAAATGGCATTGTTGGCATTTAATGGCATATACAGTGTTAGAAGATGAGCAAGTGAAATGAGCCTGAGACGGCTTAGATTTTTTAAAAATATATATATTTAAAAATATTTCAACCTTCCAGGACATTTAGTGGGGGACCTCAAAGGACCTTTTTATTGCAAAGGGATTTCAGAAACAGTCTAGAACAGAAGATAGCTGAATTACAATTATTTTCATTTTGTAGAAACGTAACATGCAATTTCAAATATAACGTATAACCGTCGGATCGCGGGCAGGTTTCCTTTGGAGTGAGTTGTTGGGGGAGAAACTTTGACCTCTCGGGAGGGAGGGAGGGAGGGAGGGAGGCCAGGGTAGGACGCCCCAGTAGCCTGCGGGATGCCGGAGGTGGCGGCGGCGGTGATGGGCAGGGGGAGGGGGAGCAGAGGATTGGGAGGGAGGGGGCCCGCAAAACCAGCAGGGAGAGCCGTGCCCCATGGGCCCCACGCAGGCTACGAGCCTGAGGGTGCCACTACTGAGAAGGTCATCCCACTAGGTTACTGCCCACCAAAGAGCCAGTTTGATGTACTGGTTAAGAGTGGTGGACTCTAATCTGGAGAATGGGGTTTGATTCCCCACTCCTCCACATGAAGCCAACTGGGTGACTTTGGGTCAGTCACAGTTCTCTCAGCCCAAGAAATTAAACCTAGCCTGCCACAAAAAGAGCTAGAGTTTCACGCTGCCAGACAATCTTCGGATCTCCTGGCTATATTATACCCACTACCACATGATTACTATTATTACTGCCTAACACACTTCTCCATAATGACTATGCTTTACAGGTGAGCTGTAATTTATGGGAGAAGGTGGTCCTTCAGTTACCCTGGTTCCAAGCCAATTAGGGCCCTTATTATTAGCACTAGCAGTTTGGATTGTGCCCAGCAATTCACAGGCATTTGGGCAGGTAACAGGCTCAATAACAGATGGATCCTCTCAAAGTCATTGAGGTGTGTGATGTATAGCAAATATGGAAACACTGTGCACATACAGGTCAACCAGATCAGTTCTACTTAACTGGCTAACTGGTCTGGATGGATATAGTTCCTGTCAGGTTCATTACCTGATGCATCACTTGGTCCCTTCGCTGCTCCTTCTGCCTCTTACTGTCAGGGGAAGTTAAACAAGACAGAAGGCACCAGAACATATATCAGATTTTAAGTCTGAAAGTCATTCTGATCTGATGTGGAATATTTACAATATTTATAAACAGGTATGACTTAGATTCAATGTGGATTAGTGAACTTTCAACTTCATATACCCTGCACATCCAGGATCTTACTATAGAAATGTTTTGCTATTTTTCTAGTCCCTGATGAATTCATTACTGGGATACGATATTTATTACATGGGATAGTCCCATGGGCTTCTCTGTAGAATTAAGCCGCATTAAGTGTTAGTGCATATAAAGAAAAGACTGCTCCATTTGTGATACCTTGGTGAGCAACTCTGAAGGAAGAAAGAGCATTTCAACCTTCTTCAAAGCAAGGTTTTGT